GATATGTAATGGTCTTTTCGAGTGATGTTTTGCATACAACATTATAGTCAAGTATCAAAAATATCTCGATTTTTTTGTTTTTTCGTTGGTTTTTTTCTGATGCATATAAACTGATAATGACAATAAATAGAAAGCTCAAATTCTAGCATAAGGTAGAAGTTGGCTAGTAGTATACACACTGCAAATATCAACTCTTTCGCTCCAACCGATATGTAAAAAAATAACATTGCACGAGGGATCAGAACTTAGGGAACACCCTTTATATATATATGTATGTTTGCCCTTGCTGTTCTTCATTTCTTTTGAAGATCAGAATGACGGCAGTTAAAGAAAAAAATACAATTGAATTTAACGAAATTTTCACCAATCCTGAGTCACAAAATGAATCAGATGCAGAAATCATATGTTGAAATGCTTCTAAATGTTTATTCTTTGTATTTACGAATAAATGCATTGTTCAGTATTTTAAAAAATTTATTTATTTCTGCTACAGTAATCCCGTCCTCAAAGGGTTAAGGTCGAATTATCGGTCAATCAGATTTTTTCATCTACTAAATAATACAAATTCTATAATAAATTAAAATAGGAAAAATGTTTATTATAATCATGAAACTACATTTCAGTTTTTATTATCACTTTTCTAATCCTATTTCACATTTTACAAGCAAATATTCTTTCATCACTTTATCCAATTATCTAATATTTGAGATAGTATTATTGTATAAATTTTCGTTCTTTTATTTAGTTCATTTTGTTTATTCATAATGATATCAGAATTATTTATTTTGTTTTTTATAATTATTTATTTGTTATGGCTTTATATTAAAAATCTTTCCAGACATCATAACAATAGTGAGTACTATTTAATCTTGTTTTTTTATTGTTCCAATACTCACCATAAGTAGACGTAGCCGAAAAAAACAGGAAAACAGAGGAGTTATTTGATTATGTTTCATTTGTGGAATGTACATAAAAGTGCATCATCTTTAATAATTGATACAATCATTTTTTCTTTCAATTAACAATCGTACTCTATTTTTCATAAAATCGCCTAATTTTTCAGTAGATTCATTAATCCAGTTTATCCATTCTGAGCTTCATCAATGCGCAGACATTTTCAATTGGATTATAGTCTTTGAGTTTTATATCCCATTGAAATTCTTTTTAAAATAGTGTCATTTGGTTCGAAGCGATTTCGAGGTCGGTTTCAATGAATCTACACTAGCTGTTTTAAATTTCTTCTTAATATGGTTTTACTAAGTTTTATACCTCTCTTTGATAGTCTAAACGTAATTCGACTCACAGATTCAGTTGAATATTGAGCTATCACTAATTGAATCGTTGCAACTTTTTTTCGATATACATCATGTTTTGTGAAACTTATACGTCCCCAGCGATTTCATACCTTTTATGGCCATATTTTACAATTGGCTCACTGATTCATATAAATATTGTGAAATACTAGTATGTGACATGTACTAAAGATAGCTTGTCCTTTATAGAAAAATGGTTTCTCATCTTTTCTTTAAAAATAACATTCATTTTCTATCTAGCTATAAATTGATGGCAGTACGAATATAAATGCTCTTATTCGTATCAGATGATGAGTATCAATAGTTCGTTCAAATAAAGCTTCGACTTTTGATTCAGTTTCATGAGGTAAGAGTGAGTATGAAGATAAAAGTTAAATAACTAAATTAAGAGTAGGATTAGTAGTCCACAAGTGAAAATAGTCAAAAATTGAAAACTTAAGTAGTTGGTACAGTCGAAAAAATTGATTTGATACTGAAATTTTGAAATTTTACAAAAAGTTGTTCAGACAAAAAAATACAACAATGCAATTGGAAGAATTTCATAAATTGAGATCATCTGACAAGATTTTGAATTTCTTCAAAACTCTGCAAATACTTTTAATTCGATCATCACAATTAAATATATGAGCGAAGATTTGAGATGCATATCTTTCAGTAGAGATAGAAACATTCTCAATTTCAGTGAGTGTCTTTTTATTCATCAACAAAGGACGAGGGTGGATAAGGTCGAGCTGTTAGTTTATAGTGGAGTCGACGCAGAATTTTATGGCGAATCTTTTGGTAATAAAATGTAGCCTTTCTGAAGGATTCTGGGTCACTTATACTCGAAATACTGAAGATTGGTCATGACATACCCTTCGAGAGCGGTACGATGTGGCGAATTTCTCGCCGAAAAAAAGTTCACAAAAGCGTTTGAAACATACATTAGTCGACTCAGTTTTTGACGCTGATTCAAAACATTATTAGTTTTGATACAGATCGTAGTCTTCTGATCGAAATCTGCGGAATATCAGTCAAAAAAGCAAAAAATGATGACCAAAGAATGGTGTGCTTGGATATTATTCAAGTGGCCAATGTTTTCTGAGTTTGTAAAATATATGATTTTGTAGCCCATCGTCAAGGCTACAAGAAAAGATGAAAAGAACAATAGGTATTTTTTCTTTGCTGAGAAATGATGAAAGGAGTGAGTGGGTCTGATTTTAAATATACATTGACCCATCTCCAACATGGGCATTCTACTGGCAGAGTTTTCGGCATGAATCATCTGTTCAAAGAACAATGAGGATATATCGCACCGCTCTCGTAGGACATGCCATGACCAATCTTCAGTATTTCGAGTATAAGTGACCCAGAATCCTTCAGAAAGGCTACATTTTATTACCAAAAGATTCGCCATAAAATTCTGCGTCGAATCCACTATGAACTAACAGCTCTACCTTATTCACCCTCTGCCTTTGTTGATGAATAAAAAGAAATTCTTAGAACTTATGCGCCAATCTGATATATATTTGAAGCTCCAGTCGTTGAGCTTTAACATAGAGAACAACATGAAAAAATTAGTTTAATTTTACAAATAATGATTAGATTTTACATTTGATATTTTACAAGAAAAAGAAGAAAACAAATTTTTATGTCGTAGTTTTTCTTTGTTTCTTTGTTTTTATTTTTTTATATTCATACGCTTCAGGATATAATATGCCTAATGATCGTTCATCATTATCAAATCTCAAGTATACTATTGAACATCATCATGATATATCAAACATTATTGATATACTTAAAAAAAATAATGATTCTAAATTTCAAACGTATATTATATGGTTATCAGGTGCTATTGCATGCATAGAAAAAGAAAATCTAATTATACTGTCTGTTCGGAATCATAATGGTAATTTAATAGCAACATCATGTATTGAAATATTTCACATTGATTTCAGTGAAGATTTTGTATCAAATAAAATTAAAGTGTTTTTGAGATGGTTAGAAAGATTTCATATTATTCCTATTTTTTGGCGTTGTCAATATGCTACAATATGGATTCCACCATTTTATCAATTTTCTGGTATATATTATCATATAGATATAAATGAAAATGAAGTAAATGAAATAAATGATATTATACAAAAATATGTATTTCAAATACGTTCTAATATATTATTTATCTTAGAAATAAAAGAAGCAAATCAGAAAAATAAAAATATAATTATGAATAATGATCGTGAATTTATATTACCATGGTACAAAACAACAATTGCAATGTTTCCATCTAATATCGATTCATTAGAAAAATATATTAATTTAATATGTAAAAAACGAAGAAGAAAAAATCTTAAATTATATAAAAAACAATTTAAAGATGGTGGTGGTAAAACACGTTATTTATTTTCATCATTAAAAATAGATTTTGATGAAATTCAGACGCGTATGAAAGAATTAACATTATTAAAATTAGAAACAGAGAGAAGAAATGAAAAAAAAGAAGATGTTTATACGATCGAATTCGGTAATGAATGGATGTCATCAATGATATTAACAAATAAATTATTAAATAATAATCATATTATATTTATATTTGCTGAAGAAAATTCTAATGAACATTTACTTGGTTTTATGTTATTGTTTATACATTCATCAACAAATCAAATTATAGCTAAAGCGATTGGTATTCATGATAATATTCATACAAGACAATTAAAAGTTTATCAAAACTTAGTTTTATCAGCCATTGATTGGTCATTAATTAATGGTTATAATGTAATTGATTTTGGTACATCACATGAAGAAACAAAAGCTCTTTTAATTGATAAAGATATTCGTTTATGTGATGATGAACATACACGTGCTATGGTTAAAATTATATTAAGATCAAAAAATCTATTTTATAAATTTATTACAAATCAGATGATAAATTGTATAAGACCAAAAGATGCATAAATTTGTTCATAATTTTATATTTATTTTAATAAATTAATTCTCTCCTAATTAGCACGACAAATGTATCTTGAGGGTGTGAGGGTGAGGGTGAGTATAGCTACCACAATACCAGGTATTTCGAAGTAATAATGAATATACAGTTGAAGTTTAAAGCACCAGAGGACGCGTTTTATCAGTTGTTTGGGCTTTCCATTATGAAATATGTTTAGAATCTTGTTATTAGTTAGAAGTAATACGTCACGCAAATCAGGATGTTAAGTGTCAGCGGTAATTAAATAACAACTTTAGAATAGAATAAAACTGTATTGTATTGAAAACATTTAAAAGCTGAATCAAAAACAGAATGTGCAGATGATGTTGTGTTTTGAAAAGAAGGAAAATAATTAAAAAAATAGGAGCCCTAATCAAAGTTTGAACAGACCTGTTAGAGATGAGTAGAATCGAGTGTTGCTCGTTGGTCGAAGTTGATATAAGTATAAGACTATCGATGTGACTGCTGTTGCGTCGATTGAAGAAATGAATTGAATACAAGAAGAACAAGCCTTTTATATATTTCTATATACAACAGACAACAGAAGAGAAATGACAGACCACAGCAGACAAACGACAGACCCCAGGAAAGAAAAGAGAGACCACAGCAAGCAAACGACAGACCGCTGGAAAGAAAAGTCAGACCACAGAAAAGAAAAGACACACCACAGGAAAGAAAAATGAAATGACAGACCACGGCATAGCTACGATAGACGACGCTGTACCACGACAGGGCACGGCAGAATAACGACAGACCACGTTGTAGTTATTATATTCTCAATACTTTCATTTTCCATTGTTGAAATACTAGCAGCAGCTTCTATGGTATTTTCGGCTGTTACCACAGGATTAACCATTGATTCGAATTTTTCTAAATGTGTATGATTTTCAACTGAACTCACTAATCTCATGTAACAGCTGGGTGTGGAACTAACGTCTGATGATACCAAGTTCGATTTAATACTGTGCAAATTCGAAGCAACATCTTTCACTGCTCGTGCCATTAATGTAAAATTTCTCTTTTCTAAAGCAAAGAAATCATTAATAAAAATATAGTATGGAAATAAACGGTTTTAGAATATTTTTTCATAGCTGAAAAAGTCCAAATTCTACCAAACTGATATTGATCTAGTAGCTTCTGTGCACATGTTTGCGACAAATGACTTTTATACTACTGTCTTCACGTTGATAAGACATGTTTTATTTTTCTTTATAAATCCTCTTATATCACATGGATAATAAAAAGAATGATGTTTTTTTCGAACAATAAATTTCATGTCTTTTAGCTTCACTCATGGTATCTTGAATGTATTTTATATAAATAATAGAGGAAATGGCAAGAACGTTTTTTTAGATTTCTCGATCTACTGTCAAATACAATATTTACTGAGTGTCAACATATTAAATCAGTAATAAAATAAACGTGCCCAAACTCATAGAATGTAACTAAAATGTCAATATGAAAATAAAGAGATAACTGCTGCAAAAAGCATTTTTTTTATATATTTATTTCAAACAGAAATAAAAGGATTCAAGCTTGAGGGTGTGAGTGTGGGTGGGTGGGTGTGGGTGGGTGAGATGTGGGTGGGTGTGGGTGTGGGTGTGGGTGTGGGTGTGGGTGTGGGTGTGGGTGTGGGTGTGGGTGTGGGTGTGGGTGTGGGTGCGATAGGTGTGTGGGTGTGGGGTGTGGGCGGGTGTGGATGTTGGTGTTGATAAGTGTAATGGCTCTGCCTTCCCCCACATCCACATCCACTCACATTCCACACTCAGACACTCACACCCACATCCAACATCCACACCCACACCCACACCCACCCACACCCTCAAGAGTTATGATTATGACATAGTCATAATGCGAAATCACACAGACGAGAATGGAATAACAAAATCAATATATAAGATGTATATCACAATAAATGTACAATATATTTCATTGATGATGTACACGAGGATAAACAAACAATGAAAAAAGAAAACACTATGACAACACATAAACTTTAGAAGAATATTCAGTTTAGTGAAATGCCATCAGAAAATTGTTTTATGATTGGTTTTGATCGATTTCGTCAGAAGGTTTATTATCGTCGTTTTCCGACGTCTCCGATGTAACAGTACCAATGACATCACTGGTTTCTATAAGAAATTAATGTACGATAGTCCGTGTAAAACACAATTCTAGCGGGCAATTAGGAAAACTTTTTTCTTATTACAAGCATCTATTTCTCTTTGTCAAATTATTTATACAGGGCTTGTCAAAATTATAGACACCATTTGTCATTGATTTTTCTCTATGAAAACGAATAGCTAGATCAAATGTAAACAGTGATTTCGATAGCTCTCGAAGTTCTCTATCGATTGCAGTATATTGGAAACTTTCAAAGATGACTTCACCATGTAATTTTTTGAAAATGCGTAAGACCCCATTTTTGACTTTTAAAAAGATTTGTCAGACATCGTTTCGAATGCAACCATATGATAGAGCTGAAAATTCTGAGCAAAATGAGTGGTCGCACGACTCTCCACAACTTTTCAGTGAGAAGTTATAAGCATAACAAAAGTCGAAAAAATCCGAAAAATCATCAAAAATTGTGAAAAATCGGTTGAAAACACGTTTTTCCGACTTTTGTTATACTTATAACTTCTCACTGAAAAGTTGTGGAGAGTCGTGCGATCACTCATTTTGCTCAGAATTTTCAGCTCTATCATATGGTTGCATTTGAAACGATGTCTGACAAATCTTTTTAAAAGTCAAAAATGGGGTCTTACGCATTTTCAAAAAATTACATGGTGAAGTCATCTTTGAAAGTTTCCAATATACTGCAATCGATAGAGAACTTCGAGAGCTATCGAAATCACTGTTTACATTTGATCCAGCTATTCGTTTTCATAGAGAAAAATCAATGACAAATGGGGGTCTATAATTCTGACAAGCCCTGTATATAATCTTGCTATGTTAAC